CGTCGGTTATGACAGCTCATTAGAGAAACGCGTGTGGCTGACGTCACTGTAACAGACGTCACGTGGCCGCCACTCGACCACGACTTTGGCCACTTAAAACAGTCGGTTGTGGTCATTTACATATTGTGTTTAACTGAATTGTGTCCTGACCTGAAGTGTCATCTCCAGCACTTCCGTAACCTTTTGCAGCAAGGAAGTCTACATTTTAACAAACAATTGATATGAATCACAATTATAGAAGCACTTTACTTACAAGTTTATCTTACATATTAAGATGAATGTTGATTAAACGCTTCAACTTTGGCATTTGGCACTAATGATGACAAAAGGCCAAACTTCGATGTACGTCTCGGGGAACTGTAGTTACAAAGGACACCATACTGTGCATGTATGTAATGTTATGCTTAGGGCACAACAGCTACAGATATAAACACGAAATATAGTGGTGGGAAGCAAGTATACTCTAACAAAAGAACGTTTTTTTAATGCTAGGGCCTTTTTAATAGATTTTTAAAATTAAGTGTACGAAGCATGTGTGTTCAGTGAGGAATCCTTAGTTAGACAGAATACCCCACTACCATGGATTTGAACCCTTATACATATTCCATTTCTGTGCACTGCTATATGTGGACACTGAACGTATGTTTTAACAGACTGTCGAGCTATGAAAATATTAGTTATGGATCCAAAATTAATCAAAAGTGTCTGCAGAACACGAAATTACATTTCGTCAGAGGCAACTCATAGCAGAATCAATTTCTAATGTTTCCTGTCTTTTGATTGGCTAATACGAAGGCTGAAATCCGAGATTATTTCCTACGCTGAATGATGTTCAAGTTAGTGTACCATGGGCGCAAACATACAATGCAGATCGTGGCTTATAATTTTTTCCTACTAAATACAAAACAAATGTATCAGAAGTGAATAAATAAGCGATCAGACTATTATGTTGTCTTCTCACATCCCTGGCGCACTGTACCCTTGACGGGTCAAATTAAGAGAGTGTATTATTTTAGGGGATTTAGAGGCATGTTTTGTATGGATTTTCGATGTTCATCTGTAACAATACCTGGTCTTTCGATATGTTCAATCCCTGCGTGGTATGAAAGTCACAGTTTATAAACTGAATGCGAAGACATAATGCATATAAGAACAGTGAAAAACGCTGGAGTATGCGAAGTTTAAGATATTTCAGAATATTTTTAGGAGTGGGGTAGGGGTGAATAGTGCCTGAAGATACTGCACGATAACCAAGGTTTAGTATTTTCACGCGTACGCAGCACAAGTGAAAGGTACGAAACATTAAGCACACGAGTAAACACTATTTGTTTTACTGGAGACACTATCAAATATTCCATTTATAACATTTTCACACACAATATAGCATATTAAGAACAGATGTTCAGAGAGTTTAACCTATGACAAGTTACTACGCTGCTGAAAATATGGCGGCAATCACAATTGTCGCTGATGATGACACGGATATTCTTGAAATGTCTAACGTGTTAGCTCCACATTAATGACGTTTAGTTGGGCATCGGGTTTGATGTCTGATAGAGTAACTTGTGTTTGCAGTTGCTTGCTGACTTTCATGGAAATGAAGGTTTACCATGTCGTGTTACTAGTTAGCAATGCCTTCAGGTATCTTGTCTTGTGATATTTCGATAAGATGATTTGTGTTCTCTCTTTCCATAGGCCTAAGTCTGCAAAAGCGATATTTTTCACTTAAATCAGTTTATGATTTTGAAATGCCTGTTTCTTCTATAACTTCACTGGAGCGGTTTATACATTAGATGTATTACAGTTTCCTAAACATTAAACTAGAATTAAATTCAAACATATCTCATCATACTCATGCTTTGTAATGAATAAATGGAGTTCCGTTGGCATCCGTGTAAGAACACGATACGTTTGTTTGTTTACGGAAAGTAACGAAGTTTCCCGAGCCTTAACCCGGGAATCAAATGGTGTGAGGCTCAAATGTGATCTTGATTTGTTAAAATTATATTTCTTCGATAAGTTTTTGCAACGAATGTAAAATTTCCCCATAATTTTCATTTATCTCCATCTTTTTAAACCCTTTGTTATGTGTCTGTCGTTTGACGACATCTTGCAAGAAAATTCATAACAGATAAATTAAATTAATATTAAAAAATAAAAATAAATAAAACAAATTAAAATTTTGTGACGTTTATCATACAGTTTGGCGGTAAACTGGCCGTGTTGGTTTCGTTATAGGAAACTCTCTAGATCACAGGTGGTAGGCTGTGCTTGTGGACATTTAATTTAACACATAATAAAAAGTCACTAATCCAGATGAGAAACAGTAGAGTTGAACCATGAATTCAAAGTGCATCATATAGTTTATAGGTCAGAATGAGATAATGTCTATTTCCAACGACCTTAGAAATATTTTTCTGTTTGTTAGCCAATCAAATAGCCTTCGCTAAATGACGTCAGATTAGTCCTCAGTGATTGTTGGGGATTGTGTTCCTTCCCATCCGATATCTTACTTCAATTTAGACCAATTTGGATGTTTTTCAGTTGCGTCCAAGGGGTCACCAAATGAAGCCCTTAACATCACTGTCGAGTTTTCGATGAACAAAACCGTCTTACGACCAAGTTTGGTTTATCATTTTTCTTTGATTTTAGATTTGAATTGAAATGTGCGATTCACGTGTTTCCTTTCAGTTCGTGATAAACAAAACTATAACAAAACAGGTTTAAACTATGTGATGTTTATGGGACACTAATATAGCTACACTAAGACAACCAAACTCCAGAGAGAATCCTTCAGGTTTGGATAGTATAAAATAACACACGCAATCTAATTTTCCAGATAAAAGACAGCTTTATCCGTTTTCGACTTATAATCCGTATAAAACCTTATTTTTTAAATATTATTTCAGAGCAATACCGTATTCATCTTTGAAACACGTCTAATAAGTGTTTACAAGACATCACATCAAATCAAAATGATTGCATGTTATTGATTTTTTTTCAGAATTGTTTTAACATGTGGCAGACAAAACATTCTTCGAGGTGAGCCAAATAGTGATGTATGCAGGGATCGCTCTTAATCCGTCAATCAATGTATATCGGTCAATCCGTCCGTGTATATCGGTCCGTACGTCTGTGTCTATTGGTCAATCCGTCGGTGTCCATCGGTCAATCCGTCAATGTATACCGGTTAATCCGCCATTGTATATCGGTCAGTCGGTCTGTGTATATCGGTCAATCCCTCTATGTATATCGGTCAATCCGTCAGTGTCTATCGGTCAATCGGTCTGTGTATATCGGTCAATCCGTCCGTGTCTATCGGTCAATCCCTCTGTGTATATCGGTCAATCCGTCCGTGTATATCGGTCAATCTATCTGTGTCTATCGGTCAGTCAGTCAGTGTATATCGGTCAGTCCGTCCGTGTATATCGGTCAATCCGTCCGTGTCTATCGGACATTGTCTTCCATTTGGCAACCATGAATTTCTGATTGATTTACATTACAAATTCAAAAGATGAGCACTGCAGTTAGCGATTCCCGTGAGACATCATCTCAAAATGGGATAATATTAGAATTAATATAACTACCAATATATATTTCGTATAGAATTATATATTACACTATGTCTTCGTACTTCTACAACACGATACCAAAGGTAATAATTTTACAATCAAAAACAGCAATATCTCCTCCACACACACAGACAACCCTCACAAACACAAGATGCTTCATCATCCACATTTCAAACCAGTTCAAAATATAAAACGAGAAAGAAAAAACTACATCATATTAAAACAAATGTTTTCAAATCTAAGATATACTGAATATGTAATTTCTGTATAACAATATAGTTCAGTACATCATCAATCGTTAAACATTCATTCTGCTCATCACACCAATAAACAGCATCACGTTAATTAAAATTTAAACCAAACACCGTATCTCAATAAACACTTGCTGTTTGATCATCCTCATATATATATCAGAAAAGCCCAAGTTTATTATTATCATTATCACACTAACACACATACAACTTCGCCAGCAGGTGTTTTTTTTATATTTCCATCACGAAATTTTACGTGAAAGAATCAACAAACAGAAGCAATTTTCTACATACACTACCAACATACTTCATCTTACATTCGTTGATGATTATTTTACAACACTGAATGATTCCTGAATTTGAAAGACTGATCACCAAATTGTGTAAACATGATATAAATAAGTTAAAGCATTTTCACTGGAAAAAAAGATATTTTAAACACTGCTTACATTTCACTATCAAAATTTATGTACCCGTATTCCGCTTTCTTTAACACCAAAGATATTTATCACATGGGTACCCGCATTCGTTGATCAGCTCTTGGTGAGTATAAAATTAATGGAAAAAATTTAAAATAACTTATAAACATCGTGTCTTACTGGATACGACACCAATTTTATAATTAAAAATGCATCATTTTATCATGGGTTGTTTCAATAATATAGCATCTTAAAGAAGTTTTCATTTCACATGAAACTTTTTGAAACGAGTCATAGCTGTTTTTATTTTTGCGAGCCTTGGTTAATATAAAATGTAAACAAATCAAAGATACTTTCTATCACATAATTACATTTTGACCGGGATTAAGTAAAAAAAATGGACGACAAAAAACAAACGGAGGCAACCATTTTGATGCGCAATTTTTGATTGTGTAAGGTCATTGTCCATATTATGACATCACAATCGAGTTCTGACTGCCGCAGCCAATGAAAAACGCTCAAGGGTATATCATATTAGTGATATATATAAGCATTAATATTACATGGCGAAAAACTGGATAAGAAGCAGATTACGTCGTGAAGCTTTATATATACAAACAACCCATTGAGTACACGATTACTTCTTGCCGGGGTGGAAAAGACACATGTTTCACACTATGTCCAAATAAAAAAGCACAAACATGTTAACAATAATAAAGACACAGTTTGTCCAACATACCACAATTAATCACATTTTATAGTTTAGTTATTTTGGGTTGTACATATGACTGTGAATATCCCTAATGTAACCGCTGTCAGTATAATTTATTTAATTTAAGTTTAAACACTTAATTTAAGATTAAAGAGAAATTAAGTTAATGAAATAAAATAATGACGACTACATGGTTCTACTGCCTTACGCCTACGTCTTTCACTTAGTTTACAGATGTCCAGTTAGTCTAACTTGAAGAGAGCATGGTAGATGTAAAAATCTGTTGTAAGATCTGTGGGAGATCCTTGGTGTCCAAGCAGATAAAGGCATGCCCTGACGGGAGATGTTTTATCAACTGGGAGGCCTGGTCTTCCAGAGATCCTATAAATATCGTGTAGGCGTTCACCTTATCATTGGAGCGAAGTATCTCTCCAAACTTTTTAGGTGAAATATTGTAACGATCAAAATTAGCGTCACTTAAGACTATAACAAAATGTTCATCGGCTTCCTCCTCGCTTAGACCTTTGATGGCGTGACGCGTGGCCTCTAAAGTGTTGTCACCACTCAGGCAAAACTGGGAGTGTGCATGCATCGTCTTAAGAACCACCAAGCGTTCCTTGTTGTTGGCTGGAACCTTATCAGGTTTCACTAATTGTACCTGGAAAAATTGTTGCGATTATCAAGAGTTGCTATATCTGCGACGGACTAATGTGCTGACAGATTACATAACGACTAGCATGTATCATGATTTTAAAGAGTGACAATATTCAACACAATAGGGTCCAATACGTGATATGTATACTATTGTTGAGAGATAATTTTAAGGTGAAAATATATTCGCTAAAACCCTGCATGAGTGGGCAGATGTTTTATCTCATCACGTCTCATCAGATGATCTCAGCCCATTTGTAATCGTGACACACGTCAACCCTTTCTTGGCTACAATGGTCAACGATCATTTGGTTTGATCATCAGGTGAAAAGGACCTACTATACTCCTAACAAAGTATCATACCTGCCTATCCCGACATAATTTCCTCCAATTTAAGTGGCGTAGATTTAACATTTCGTTCAGATTTTTAGAATGAAATATGATATTGATCTATCATTGATGCTAACAAGCATACTGTTCGAATCTTCTGCATCAAATACACAATAAGCTACTCTTTAAAGTCCGCAGGACATCTGTATGACGACCAAAGACGATAAAAAAAATGTCGGGCTTGAATGATGACGAAAGTGAGACCTCAACAATTTGATATGTGATTAGAAGATTAATTTGTTCTTTAACTGAATTCACAACAGGCTGAAATCATACGTATGAAAAAGTTGTGAACAATCACTTTGTGGAGTATAAGATGACAATTCAATTTCTAAATTTCTATGAGTTACAAGATTTTGTACAAGTACCTTAGTTTTTGTAGCATTTCTGAACGCTCGAAAACATACTTAGAGACATGGAATGTGTTGAAACGATCTATATCAACATTTTTCGTACATTTGGAAGTTACATATCTAACGAATGTACATAATCATCTACAGCCGAATGAGGGATGACGAAATACATGAGAACTAGAGATAATCCGTACTGAAAAAATACATATATATGCCCGTGAGAGGGTTCAGAATGTGGGCAAACCTCGATATTATCGAAGGTGAGGCCATGGAGAGGACAATGTAATTGTGATACAATATGTAAGCTGCGATCGACAAAATATATGTTATAAATCTAGCTGTCGCCAATCTCATCAAAGTTTTTCTATAAAAGCAACATGGTGACGATCATTCATCAAGAGGGACAAAATCGACATTTACAGAGGAAAATTTCATGATATTGAGCATGCATATCTTAATGATTCATATCATTCTTAAGAATGTCATTACCGATTCTGCTATTGAATTAATCAATATGAAATGTAACTATCATGAGGACAGTTATAACTACTGAATATGGCACTTTCTCTCTTAGTAGTAAGGTACAGTAGGAAAAGTCTATTGTAAAGATATCTTAAGATGACGCTTACCTTAAAGTCTTCTCCAGAATGTCCAAGAATGTCGTATTTAATTTTCTCGTCGTATCCATCCAAAGCCTCCATCATCATAAGCGTGGCCTCCATCTCGCGTTCCAAGCGGCCATCATAACCATTGAAACGGTACATACTCCCGGAAACGTCAACTACCAGGCGCATGCGTTTTGGTTTCTCTTGGGGTGTGCCCAGCTCGGGTTCCTTTTCTCCACGCCTCTTGTAAATGGATTTCTCACCTAAACCGATAAACTTCCATGTCTCAGAGAAAAACATAGCAATGCCTTTCTAGGATTTATTGAGGAAATTGTAAGGAAACGTATTTCAGTAGTAAATACGCTTTGAGCACGAAGATCTTACTAAATGCAGCGGACAGAGAAGACCTTTTTTGGTAGATGTGGCCCATATATGGTAAGAAAAATGTTAATTCGCGTTTAGAAACGAAATATTTTATTTTGATGATGAATGTATGATTCATGTCAGAATTATACAAGTTAAAAATGCGGAAATTAGTTCAATATGTACTTCGTGAGTTCATCTTTTAAATGCTCATAAATACAAGTTGATTGAGATGAACAATATTGCTACTAGGTTGTAATATCATATTTCCATGACGAGGGCAAGCATTTGCACGTTAGTGAAGACCTGTTCTGTGCGTTTCGGTGCGTTTAAAACTACTAGTTGCCATGAACTTTGCTTTTCCCAACGATAAATTGGAGGTGATGAAAATAATAATTTAGTTACTGGTGACTTAATGAGTACCTGTGATGCCTTCTATAAGCTTCGCGTCGTCCAAGTCGCCATAAGCTTGGTTTTTAAGCCACTGCCGTTCCTTGCCTTTGGCCTGAAGACTGTCCAGAATAACCCTTAAGGACTGGACCTGGCCCCGCACGTGGTTCAGGAAGTTGTTGTAAGTTTCTGCGTCATATTCGCTCATGTTGATCTCACGGAGTCTGTCTTTGAAAGCTTTCTGTGCCATCTCTCGTGCAGCCTGGCGGACCTCCTCTGGAACTGCATCTTTCTCCGCCTGTGGGACCTGGTATACTTTGTGGCCGGCGTCAAGTCTGTAAGGTCCACCTAAACCTCCAAGGCCTGTAGACATGTAGCATAAAATAAATCTGACAATCCCTCTACAATTCTGTTACCAAATAAAACTCATCTTCAATGCTGTACCAAACTATCATTTATAGCGTGTAACATCATAGAATATTCTTTATAAAAACTATTTTATAGACAACAACTACTAAATATGAACCAGGTCCGATGCCTTTTTCAAATTATTTGAAGGAAAGTCGAAAAAATATGTGAACAATATATCTAATCTTAAATATAAAAGGCAGAATGCGACGTAAACAGAACAATGCTACAAGCGAATTTGTCTCGTATGTACCAGATCACTTATATATAACCTATTTCAAATATAATTTCAGGAAGGGTCGGTGGTGCGAGATCAAGGTCACTTGAACTGCAATCTTTCCATTTTGAAACAATCTGCAATTGATGCAAGCAAACAATATCACCACTCTCACTCGTCAAATCTGGCATTCTTAATGTTTTGTATTGTTTCTCACCTGCAGTATTGCTACCACCTGTGCCTCCCGCCCACTGGTTACCGCCCACATGTGGAGCGTTGGTCTTATCAATCTTTCCGTGCTTAGGACCATCCGCTTTGCGACCACTTTCGCGTTCGTAGGTTATCTGAAGTTCTTTTCCATCCGTAAAACCAATCATGTTCTTCCACTCTTGCAGAGATCGCTCTAGATTTATGACAGCAGGTTCCCAAAGTCGCACACAACCTGACACGTCAACGGTGACTACGCCGTCATTACTAGTGGGGGCCATATGTAATGTGGAACTGGAAGAATGATAAATCCAAGAAGCGTAGGAAGAAACTCGTCCCGCTGCTGGAACTGGAATGTACCTCAGAGTGCGGTTACCTAGATCAGTGATCTCCAGAAAGCCACTGTTGTTACTCGGACGCTTACCGTCTGGGAACAACGACAAAGGAACTTTTGATGAAGGAAGGGCCTGCACAACCATACCACTTTCAGGAAGATAAACAATCGGATAGCGTGTTTCTGCGTCAGTCTGTTCTCCGTAAGGCGCCCGTAGTTTGCTCATTCGATCTATCATGCTGTCATCTTGCACTAACTCTCTTGGCGTCGAGTAAACCTCTGATGCATCACCATCTGGAAATCCAACCAGCACTGAAGCATATGTGTCTGGTGTCACAATGACACGGTTAACTGATGTTACGTCCTTTTTAATTGCACTTTTCAGAAGCTGTTCGCTCAGTGGCACAGTTGCCATATGGTCAACAACTGTCTCTTGTCCTTCCTCTTGCACCGACCTCAATATGAATTCATAATCGTCGGTGCACGTAATTAAGTTTTTGTTGTGGTTTTCAGTAGAAGTGACTAGCCATTGGTTAGGACTCACTTGATGTATAGATTCGACTGCGAATGGCAGAGACACGGAATGCGATACTGGACCTGTAATGGCCACCAATGTATCGCCACCAACTTTGTAAAAGATTAAGGTACCTTTACCATCAACAACTGGTGAGTGACACATGCGAAACTCGTTTTGTTTCTCCTTCTTCTGTTGGAAAGATGGAAATCGTCTCTTTTCAACTACTGTTTCCGGAAGATAAGGAGACCTGATCCGCCCGATTTCTCCTGATTCAAAATTGACAAGAAATACAGCGTTACTGACCTCCTCGTGCAGAATAATGGTATTGTCAAACGGGGCTGACTTCGGGGCAAGGTTGACCCTCGGTTGGTAAGATCCGGAAGTTGTTGGAAACAGATCGTACATATCAATATGTGTTACAGTGGATAACTTCGGGTTTAAAGAATACAAGGAAACAGGGTTTGAGGTAGCTATATGGATGACGTCCGTGTCTTTTTTTCCTTCGGATCGATTACCTTTCTTTGTAACCGCTACACCACTTATGATATTATTTTCGTGCACTGGAATCGTCCAAAAGGCATCCTGTTCTGTGAAAATACCAGCTCTGGCTTCTCGCTTCTCTAACACTGTCGCCTGAACAGCGACCTCTATCGGTCCACGAAACTGCACTTTAGACGACTCGACCGGTAGACTCATCATTGCAGTTTTGCGACGACCTTGTCCGCTCTGCATATCCCATTTCCCTGTGAGTCTGAACGACGGTAGCGGTAATTGCTTTGCCAAATTTACCACAGCCTCAGTTGCCCCGAACGGAATACCGTGCTTATGCATAGTTTGCACTATCGTATCTTTCAGCTCATTACTGTACGAATCAAAGTCAAACACGTTACGGACGACTGTTGTGAGTCCCTCGTCTGGGTATTTTTGTATATGTTTGACGATGTTGACAACTTCACGGGTAGAGTACGGATATGCTATCAATCCTTGGTCTGCCATATTACGGAGTTCTCCAAAAGCCTGAACCAGCTTTTTTAGTGTTGTTTCTGGTACATTTGGCCCGTACTGTCTGAGCATAGCTAGTTCGGATTCCATATCCGGGTTATCTATGGCATGACAACTGAATATATCACCCATCGACCCGAAGAAGTCGTTTCCTAAAAACGGAAATCCTGGTCTGTTCGCAAGAACAATCATCCTAAAGTCAGGATGGCATTTGATTATATTTTCCGAAGGAGGTATACTAGAATGAGGTGAAACTATCCGTCGACCGTCTGCAAGATGCATTTCCTTTGATTCCACCAAGGTTTTCAGTATACATGTTACATGAGTCGGTGCCTTGTCTGCCTCATCAACCACAAGGACGTTGCCCTGTTTAACGGCAGAAACAAGAGGAGAATCTTCGTACACGATAACTCCATCTTTGACAGTGGGCTGTAGAGTGAGGGTCTGAACGGTTGTGTCTCTGTGAAGTTGAAGGTACTCACGGGGACGATTGAGCAAGTATAGGAAACGATCCACGATCTTATTTTTACCGACACCTTGATTGCCAACTAGCAACAAGTTCTCGCCCAGTGAGAAGTCCTTCAGCATGTCCTCCATAACACCCAAATGCTGAGGGTTATCGTAGAACAATACATCCGGGACTTTGGTCTTGTTGTTTGGATTAAACAACGGGACTGTCGTATGCCCAATACGTAACATTCCGTTGTTAACTTCACTAGTAATCGACTGATCAAGCGTCAAACTGTCAGTTTGGACGTTTTTAATTGGCTTAATGCCTTCATTCTCCATTGATTGATGGAGGCCTGCCTTAGGTAGCTGTGGCAGAAACCTAGCCAGACATGCTTTTTCAACGATCCCGTACAAATCTTTGGATGGAAATTGCGCTACTCTCTTCGCCACGCGAATCAGTTGTCTGGTTGATAATGATGATGCTATAGAGGCCATTGCTGGGTCAGTAGATGTCCGTAATTTGTGTACAAAGCTTATCAGGGAATTCATGTCTGGAGAGTTTTTGACCACTTTATGGATGACCTCTAACTCCTCTGCCTTTGACAGAGGACGTAGGTTATGAAACAAGAACATCGTTAGTAATTCCGGTGTCATCCATTGCTGCTTAGTGCTACCCGCAACAGGAGGCTCTGACAAAGCAATCATCCGGAAAGACGGGTGGATAGGCAGTATTCCTTTTTCTGACATTTGCTCATCGGTCAAATTCAGTTCTTTCTTCATTTCTTGGTATCGGTCATGCCTAAGTAAACGCGATCCGTCAAGCAGCTGAAGGTCTCGGTCGTGTATTAATCTGTGAAGAATGGAGAACGACCCCTGATTTATCCGATGAACACCGTCAAGAACTGCCAGACTGCCTTCTATGGCAGCGGTAACAAGGGGTGATAGACGCCAGGACGTGTCACCATTTGGTAACGTGATTCGCTGCTGCAGAAGATCGCGTGACGTCATGTCCTGATAGAGCATTATGGGTTCGATACGATAGCCTAATAAGGAGGCCAGCTCACCTACTAGTGCACTTTTCCCGCTGCCCTTCGGGCCGACGATACACAAGTCTTTACATGTGTGACTCATCATGAGCTCAGCTAGGAGAGATTCGTGATATTTTGTCGTCACAAACTGATGTTCTCCTACATTATGGTTTTGAGCAAATAAACCGTTGTTTACTGTCAAAGGAAACCGTTCATTGAGCACGACCTGAGAAGAACCATCATCTTTTTGTTTGATTGAAGTGATCTTTAGATGTTTCTGTTTTTTGGCGTCCATTAATTCAAACTTTTGTAAAATTCTTTCAACAGCTACCTTTCCATCCTTACCAAGCATTGTGTTGTATGGATACAGTATCTGTAGCAACGCTTGTGAGGACATTATAGGAACAGAATCCAGGATCCGTATAATGTTGACTAGATTAGAAATGGGAAAATCAGGTAAACCTAATGAAGATGATTCCTTTGTAATGATCGCTGTGGCGAAGGATAGCATCTGTGAAAGACGTTGTGGCGGGACATTCTTCATATCTGTCTGTAATGAATCAAGCAGTTCTTTGAAAGGCGGAGAGGTGATGTCACGTGACTGGAATCTGGACCTAAGAGGGGGATCCAAGGGGTTACCTTGATACCTGGGAACAGGATGTCCTAACGCAAGCACACGGAAGTTCTCACTAACACGAACAAGTTTAAGTTGATCAAGTTCCGCCTGAGTATGGTCAGTCAAAAGTTTGTCATATCTGTCCGCCGCCATGAGAAAGCGACCGTCATCCAGTTGCATTTCACGATTTTCCAACAAATTGTTCAGGATGGGCAGAACGTTCCTCTCTGCTTTTTCTATACCCTCTAATATGAGAATGCGCCCTTCCAAAGCCGCTCTCACCGCACACTGGTCCAGATAGAAGGCCGTCCCTGACCTGATTTCGCGTCTCTGTTTGAGGTCGCTCTCTGTCGTATCTCTTGATAACGATATGTATTCTCCCTCGCGTTTTGTCAGCTCTAGATACATCATAGCGATCTGTCGACGCAAGGGACCCGGAGGACCTACAACGAATAACAAAAGCGATAATCATAATGAAACATGCAACTTATGTCGTCGATAAATCAGAGGACGCTTACTCTTCCGCAACACCTGGTCTAATTTTCCATGTAATTTATCAAGAGTCTCAGTGTAAATCTTTTGTTCATGTTCTGCCTTCGTTTTATGGAATATGGTTTTGAATTATGATTATGCTGTCATGTTGGTATTTTCTTGACGTTTTGTTTTATCGACATCGACATAAGGATATACCACGCAGTCATAGCTAATAACAACTGTGAGTATACCATACAAGTATGCGGTAATTCATCATTATCAAAACACATTTAATTTGCGCGTTTAAATTTTGTGAGTACATATTTATAAAACTCATTAGCAGAAACGTAAAAATAAAAGATGTCAGTATATATTCATTAAAGAAAAATGTGATTCATATTGCGCATATGGGAATATGAAGAAGACAGTGTGGAAAAGCAAAGACGGACAAAAAAAGAGATAAAGCAGGCAAAATTATGAATGATAAGAGAGCAGGACAGATTATATTAAAACACAAATATCATATTCGCTTCTACAAGATAAATCGAGATGTCGCTTCCTGCAACACAAACAAATCACACATAATACTACAAAAATAAATCTACGTTTCTCTTCCTACTAATGAAGAGTTCATTCTCATCTTCACACTATAAGTCCGATCACTCGTCTCTAAAACATCAATCGAGGTTTCTTTTCAACAGATCATACTCGTATCTACAACATCATAGACTAACATCTCGCTTAAAGCTAAATAAGATCAAACTCGCCAATACAGTGAAAGTGACCGTCTCTCTTTCTACGACAACATATATATCTTAAACAACATTAACAGCATAGATGGCGCTCCTCTAATGCAACGTAAAGGATGGTCTTGCTCTCCTCAACAACATAAAGCGATATTTCATTCTCACCTTCATCACAGACGGATAGTTTCACGGCGTAAATATAAAGAGAACTCTATTTCTTTATCAACACCAACAGGCATGCTTTTGCCTTCCTAATCAACAGTATTGGGGGAGGTCTATAAGTGACAGAGGCGCTTGAAAAATAATTACAATAAATACGTGAAGACAAAAACATTATAAACAGAAGATTGTCTTATGTGATAAACAAATGATGAAACACTGGCAAGAAAACGGACAGTAACAATTCCAAAACAGTCATTAGAAGAAGAACACGGAAATAACAATTGGTTTGCATATTTGATAAAACGAAGACGTTTATTTGTGGTAATGCGTGGCGCGAGACAGACGATAACATTTGTACTCACACAGACATAGTAAACCTATACAAATCTTTAATTGGTCTGGCGGTTCACCATACTGTCCATTTCTCGCCTGGACATTGATTTCCGGCCGATGACTTACAACTATTCTGTGCCAAGATCTGACGTTGCGGACAGAGATACCTATACACTATCTTAAATTTACAGAAAAAAATACACATAATTCAAACTAAAACAAGTTCGAAAGAAGGAAAAAGTATTAGTCAAAGGGAGAGAGAGGGGGCACCTGCTGAATAATTTGCGACATGAAGGAGAGTCGGAAAGACTAAAGGAGACAAACGATAAGAAAAGTCAAGTTGTTAATGGTCGATTTAACCATTAATTACTGCAAACAGCATTCAAGTTAATTCCCATCAGAAAACGTTTACTTGTATGGTTTTTAGTTCCTTGCTTTCAGATATTACGAACAAATTACCAATATCGAAACAGGGCGTACAGTACAGTGTTTGGAAATAGAGTAGCGGATAAATGGGTCGAAAGGAAATCATTCTCTGGTGGTGGTCGATTTGAAACCACAATAAGGGATCTAAAACTTATATCACATTGTCTATATTGATGTTAGACCTATGGTTGAAAGGAGTAAATATCGATATTGGAATTAAAGCATATCGATGTTAGACCAACGGTAGAGTCTAAAACACACTCGGTACAGTGTTTATATCGATCTTAGACCATTCGTAGAGGAAGGCCTACGGAACCGAGTCTATATCGATGTTAGACCAACGGTAGAGTCTAAAACACGCTCGGTACAGTGTTTATATCGATCTTAGACCATTAGTAGAGGAAGGCCTACGGAACCGAGTCTATATCGATGTTAGACCAACGGTAGAGTCTAAAACACGCTCGGTACAGTGTTTATATCGATCTTAGACCATTAGTAAAGGAAGGCTACGGAAGCGAGGCTATATCGATGCCAGACCTTCAGTGCGGTATCTACATAATGTATATCGATATCAGTCCTGCAGAACAATATCAATATCGATGTTATACTAACATTACAGCGTCTATGTCGACCTTAGACCTACAATACATTGTCTATTTCGATATTGTTACCTTGTTAATAAAGATGTATGACATACAGAACAGCGTCTATATCGATGTTAGACTCACAGCACAGAAATAGTCTATATCAGTGATACTCCTCGGATCTACGGTAAACAGCTTATATCGATATTCGACCCACAGTACTTGTAGGCCAACGGTAGAGTCTATATCAATTTTGTACCTCGGACCTAAAGTGCAGTGTGTATAACGATATCAGACCTACAGTACAATGTGTATAACGATGTCAGACCAACAGTACGTTGTGTATAACGATGTCACACCTAGAGTAGTGTCTATGTCGATGTCAGACCTACAGCACATTGTGTATAACGATATCAGACCTAGAGTAGTGTCTATGTCGATGTCAGACATACAGCACATTGTGTATAACGATATCAGACCTACAGTACATTGTGTATAACGATATCAGACCTAGAGTTGTGTCTATGTCGATGTCAGACCTACAGTGAATTGTGTATAACGATGTCACACCTACAACACATTGTGTATAACGATGTCACACCTACAACACATTGTGTATAACGATGTCACACCTACAGTACATTGTCTATATCGATGTCAGACCAACAGTACATTGTGTATAACGATATCAGACCTAGAGTAGTGTCTATGTCGATGTCACACCTACAATACATTGTGTATAACGATGTCACACCTACAGTACATTGTGTATAACGATGTCACGCCTACAGTACATTGTGTATAACGATGTCAGACCTAAAGTACAGTGTGTATAACGATGTCAGACCTTCAGTATATTGTGTATAACGATGTCACACCTACAGTACATTGTGTATAACGATGTCAGACCTTCAGTACATTGTGTATAACGATGTCAGACCTACAGTACAGTATATATCAATGTCAGATCTACAGTACAGTACAGTTGGTCAGCTGAATCCTTCATCGTTATGCTTTCATTGAAGTGGTACATGTTTACTTGTTTACTGTTCACTGGAGTTACTCTGATAATGAAGTTCTGACTCAGTTATCAGATGTTGTGAATAAATCCAACTGACAGTTCGTATCCAGGAAAACAGAAATGAATCCTTTCCTGGAATGAATCTGACAGTAGAATCAGTGTCAGTCGTGTGTTTGTGTCAGTAGAGCTGAAGCACAACACGCTCGGTGACTGTGAAGATTCATGGACTTCCGTTCTGTTTAGTGCTTCATCAACAAGATTACAGAATGATAACTATGGCAGTAATAGAACAATTACCAGCACTCGGCCACTGAACAACTTCTCTGTGTCTGTTGATATTGGTATCAATAAAGGATACATTGCCTGTAATCAAGCTCATTGGATGAATTCTAAGCTGTATATATATTAGGTACTTTCTCTTTGGGCTCAATTTTCAAAATAATACTCTTAAATCTCCGATCTCAAAAATAAGCCTTTTCTGAAAATAAGCATGATGTTGTTTGCATAAATAAACATGCATTGCTTATTGTTAGAGAAAATAAGCGGCGTCCTGATTTCGAATATTAAGGTATTTCGTGGACGCTTGATTTCGCGCATTACTTAATAAACTACTTGTACTGATTTGTTTGAACAGTCTGTGGTATTGACTCTGTGGTTTAAAAGTACTCAGGAAAGCAAAAGAAAATTAGGTCTACATAGAATTCAGTGAATTAAAATAGTTTTTGTCATTATTCCTCAGATGATGTACCTTTCAAAAACTATCCAAATATGTTAGACCTCTGTGTGTCTGACGGAAATGCATTAAGATTTAGCATATTCTGTATTGATGAGTAGGAAACAACAAGGCCACGATTCTGCATAAAATCAATCATCTGGTGGTTTTCAAATATCTCAAACCATTCTTGTATGTAAGGGGTATCAGATCTTCCCTCTAAATTTTGGTATATGTATTTGACACCGTCAACATTCGAGATATACAAATGAAAATTTGAATTTTTGGTTTAGACTATGCTAGCATGCTGAATTGGCTAGGGTTATAACTCAAAATACAGGTATGACTCCATAATAAAGGTATGAATAGCTAACACACAACATGTAGGTGTCAATCATTGGTTTTGTGTTTAGGGATGATGTTTTAGACAAAGTAAACACACAACATGTAGGTGTCAATCATTGTTTTGTGTTTAGGGATGATGTTTTAGACAAAGTTAACACACAACATGTAGGTGTCAATCATTGGTTTTGTGTTTAGGGATGATGTTTTAGACAAAGTTAACACACAACATGTAGGTGTCAATCATTGGTTTTGTGTTTAGGGATGATGTTTTAGACATAGTTAACACACAACATGTAGGTGTCAATCATTGGTTTTGTGTTTAGGGATGATGTTTTAGACAAAATTAACACACAACATGTAGTTGTCAATCATTGGTTTTGTGTTTAGGGATGATGTTTTAGACATAGTTAACACACAACATGTAGGTGTCAATCATTGGTTTTGTGTTTAGGGATGATGTGATAGACAAAGTTAACACACAACATGTAGGTGTCAATCATTGGTTTTGTGTTCAGGGATGATGTGTTAGACAAAGTTAACACACAACATGTAGGTGTCAATCATTGGTTTTGTGTTTAGGGATAATGTGTTAGACATAGTTAACACATAATATTTAGATATAAATCCTTGGTTTTGTGTT